GGTTTCGGCTGGTTTATTAATAACCTCTGTAGTGAAAGAATAACACCTAGAGTGGGTAAGTAATGTAACATAGTGTCGATATTTTCAAGCCAAAATACGTTTCTTTTACAAGAATCAGTTTTGCGTACTTATATGTAAATATCAATAAACCAGGATATCATCAATATCAATCTTGTATTAAATAAGTCAGTTTTTGAAAAAATAAAAGTGCAAACAATTGCTGGAAATTAGAGTTTTTAGAATAAATTTGTTGCTTTTTTAGTGTTTCATATATAAAAATCAACAAATAAATAATGTGGTAAACCCCTACACGTGTATATGAATGGGTGTGTTTAACGACATTCAGACGTGCTAATGCTTCTCGTATATACGCCACTCATCCAAGTTCCATTATTTTTGAAAGCTTTTTACATGTAAAAGTGTTTCCCCTGATAAAAACTCTGCCAAATCATCTGTAAAAAAATGTTGCGACCGATAAACCTAAAAAGCACAAAACAAACAAAAATTCTCATTTAAAAAAAGAAAATTGCAATTTGTTAACAAGTTTTCTCTTCATCATTTGACAATCCATTAACGCATATTACAACTACATTTAATTGAATATCATTAAACAGGATTACATTAAGCTAAACTACATTAAATCACATGGAATGATACGAAATCTTAACACATGGCACCAATGACATCACATAAAAAGATAACATAGCAGCTTGATAAACAAACATGACACATCATGAGTGTGATTGCTTCACATCGTTCAAAATAACCTTTGAAATCTCCATTTCTATATTGGCTTGCTCGTTTACATAGACGTTTGTTGATGCTTTCAATACATTATATAATTTGAAAGGTCGTATTTTTCTTGTAAGATTGGTTGAAAAAGTGTATTCATCATTTTATGCATGAAGTAATTTAGTAAATTTAAATGTTTCGAGAAGAAGATGAATTTCATAAGTTCTAAATATGAACACAGCATACATTTGAATGTGGATGCTAATATTTGATGATGAATTGTTGACGAAGAAGCAAGGATGTAAAGCCATTTCGTTTTCCTTTCTGTATGGAAATTTGTGTGTTCGAAAAAACAGTTTGATAAATGATTTCTTCGTAGATTTTATTTTTTCATTCTCTAGCAAAACAAAGAACAAAATGTTATTAAATGCGATTGAGGAAGAAGTTTCGAGCCGTTCATTAAGCAAATTGCATTAGATGCAAATCTCGCTCAACTCAATCAGCTCCTCTTACTTCTTATTCCACCAATCTCGAATCAATTTGCAGCTTTTGATACTTTTCACACTACTTTTTTTAATTTAAAATTTTTGTACTTTAAACTTGAAAAATCCATAAAAACGGTTTATGACGGCAAACATACTTCACAATGGAAAATATTTTATTCATTATAACAAACGGATAATTAATTTTAATTTAACAACATTATTTTTTTTGCAATCGTAAAAATGTCCGCGTGTTCTGTGCACCCACCATAAAACATTGGCCTTGCTCACTAATGCCATCAATGGAATCTTCCTAACCCCTTGTGAAGCGGCATGAATACGTAGAAAGCCTCCAAGATAGCCATCACTGACTCTTTCTTCAAATGTTCATGCCAAAGTACTTCTAAATTGTTTATTTGAAATTTAAATATAGGACAAACCAGGCAATCATAAATGAAAAAATGCAAATAAAAATTACTTGGAGTGTTGTTTTTGTTTAATCTGGTTTGGCACGCTTGTCTATTATTAAAGTTACTACGTGAGTTGGATGAAACTTTATGTTTTGCATTATCTATCCATGAATATTTTTTATTATTAGATGTTCAATTGTTTGTATTTTATAAATTAGAAACTACGACAATAATATAATTTTAATAACATTGATAAACAACCAATACAAATTTGAAATTGCAACAATTGTAAAACTTTTCTTTCAATAACGTTTATTGAATAAATTCGGTTAAATTTACTTTCTCTCTCTCCCCCCCCCCCCCTCTCTCTCTCTCTCTCTCTTTCTCTCTCTCTCTCTCTCTCTCTTACACACACACACACACACTCACACAACACACACACACAATAGTAAAAACGCAGTTGTAGTGACCAAGTTTGATGGCAAAACATTTCCTCCCATCGTCCAAATGAAATGTACGTACGTACGTACAATGCATTGAGTTGAAAAATTTGATGTGTACTTCGTGCGCTGCTCGGTAGATGGATAGGTGGATGAATGAAGGATGGATGAATGGATGAACAGATGAATGGATGAATTTGTGGATAAATAAAGATTAGACAACAACAAAAATTATCACCATCGCCATTACATGCACTCACATATGATTATACAAACAATAATGATTTCCATTTTTTGAAACCTGCTACTATAAAGTAAACTGCTACCTTCAATCTTTTGTTGTAATTTTTGTGATAATTACATTTTTCTTTCTTTGTAGACAGCAAGTTTGAATTGGATTTTTTCATCAATTAACAATTTAAGCAAAGTACTTTGACAAAATATCATTAAACTTAGATAGTTTAAGGGCCAAATTTTTTCCAAAATATGGTCACAAGATGGATATCCAGAGTTTTCACATTAACGTCATTTCATTTCACATTGTTACTTTACATCATTGCCCTTACTATCGCCATGACTTACATCATTGCCATCATCATCGCTTTATAAGCACCATCATCATCATCATCATTCATGACCATTCTCATCCTCCTCGTCACAATGCTCGTTATTACGGTCCCATAATGTTGAAACATGAAAACACGTTATTTGTTTAATGACGCATCGATTATTGAATGCCCGAAACAATCGATATCTGTAATAAACTCTAGCAAGCAAGAAGACATGCAATATTTTGAAGTTCTTACATAAAAACTCAATTACATTCTGCGTCTTTATAAATTTTTACTGTTTCTTTTGGTTTTATTTTCACTGCGTCTTGTTATGTTTCTGATGTTTTCAAGTTTTGTTATTACGAAATAATTTCTTTTGCAATGTTCAGAAAATTAGTTAAATGGAAATATTTTATAAACAAAATATTTAAAAAAATTTTAATTAAAAAAAAAACAGTTGAAAAACACAAACAAATATTTTTCCTTCACACTGAAATGCTAAATTCCTGAATTAAGGACAGGAATCAACACAATCACCAGTCGAACAAATTTATGGCTTTCCACCTTCAGCAACACTGAAACAAAACCAAGAAAAAAAAGATTACAAAAATATACTGGAAGTACGCTGACACTTGTCTGTAAAGAGCAATAACAAGGGTAGTAACAAGAGCAGTAACAAAAATAGTACAACATGTAAAGTAACAAGTACATTAACGTTGTAGCCACAAGTAAAATAACAAAGCAATCACCAACAACGCCATACCATCAATAACTTCAGAAATCCCAATACAACAACATTTGCTACAGCAACATTAACGTCAATGTCAAACAAACGTTGTTTCCAACTAGATTTTACATTGTCTTAAACATTAAGTAGATTGATTGAATAGCACTCGATATTTGATCGAGTGTACTTTTTTTTCAGCCTCTATTTTCACATACATCATTCAGTTAATTTAAATGATCTGTTACATTTTTGAACAAGTGAAATAAATTTTAACAAACTTACACTCAAAACACTAATTTTTAGTGAAACTGCAAACACATTTTCAAATTAAAAATCCGAAAATCCGCTTATCTCAGAAAATTGCTATTTAATAAGATTAAATTACAATTGCCATAGTTAGACAAAAAACTACAAACAAAATCAGCATTATTTTGCCAAAATGACATTAACATCTCTATAGCAACAACATTATCAAACATCACTACGAAAACCTCCAACCAAAACAAAAGCATCAAAGTCATTAAAAATGCTTAAGTAAGCAGACAAAATGTGAAAACATAAACCACATCAAGTTCAATAACATCAATACAATCATTAACTCCAATAACCTGTAGTTTTCCAACTTTAACAGCAAAATTATGGTGAAGTAATAAAAATATAATGAACAATTTAGGTTAATGAAAGTGAAAGGTTCATGAGATTATAAGAATAAACTATTTCTTCAATAAAAAACACCATCAGAATAATCTAAATTTTAAGAATAACAACAAATAAAAAAAATAAAAGCAATAATAGTATTACTAACAACAACGAAAAAACAACAACAACAACGACAACAACAACAACAACGACAACAAACAACAACAGCAACAAACCACACCAGCAACAACAACACAACAAATGACGTCATTTGAAGAGCATCATTCATCAACTTCTCACGAACAATACATAGACTATGAATGAGAAATCCGGATTATAGATGCTTATATAAATAAATATGAGACCGGACACCAAGAATGGAAATAAATATTTATTATTGAAGCTTTCACTGTTTTGCGGAATGCGTAGAGATATTTCATTAAAAAATTTTGTAATAGTGGCACGCGTTAATAAATCTTTTTTCTATGGTCTTTAAAAGTTTGCAATAAAAAATATATGACCAGTTGACGTTTAAAAAAATACATGTAGTCTGTAACCAACCGCTGTGCGATAGTTCTTGCTTAAAATGATCTCATTAAAATCGGTTTTTCTGATATTTATTTATATTAGATGTTAGGTTCTTTGAGAGTAGATTGTAAACTGCATTGTCTGAATTCATTACATCATCATTATGTCATACCATGTAAACAAACACGCATTCATTTAAAACAAACAAAAAAAGACTCAAACACATTCTAGCACACAAAATAGTTTGGCATATGAATAAACTATAAAAACTAAACTTATCCCAAAACGGTCGTTTATAATTTCAAATTTCAAATCCGTAGAAAATGTCATTTTATTGACACGCACATACATACATACATACATACATACATACATACATACATACATACATACATACATACATACATACATACATACATACATACATACATACATACATACATACAAGTAAAGAATGCGGTTTGGCCGCGGCCAGGGCAGCGGACGAGAAAATGAAAAAATATGGGAATGCCCTCCCCTCGATGGAATTCTTGCCAATATGCATCGAGGTTCTCGGCCCGATGGACCCCAACACCCTTAAATTTCTTAAGGAAATAGGCAAAATGATCAGTGTCAGATCAGGTGACAGCAGGGAACTGTTTTTTGCAACCACATTTCGTGCTTGTTGCAGCGGTTCCTGCGTGTCTGTGTGCTTGAAAATATCCAACTGAATGCCGACATGTGCAATTAACGACAAATCAAAGTGTTAATCCATTTGTTACTTGATGTTTGACGGTTCAGTGTCACTCATCATGTTTTGGTTTTAACATACATACATACATACATACATACATACATACATACAAAAAAACGAGATTGATTTTCTAGGCTCAATAATTTTTCCTGGTGAAAGCCAAAACATATCCATAGCTAAAAAATTTTAAACTTATCACCCAAAGGCTAAAAATATCATCAATAAATATGATGCAATGGTCCTTCTATTACAAGCTGCTTTTTTGCCTCGTCTTGTTTATTTTTTGAGAACATCCCCTCTGTTGGATGTTTCGATCCTCAATAGTTTTGACGATCACGTCCGTGACGCATTCTAGTCCATCTTCAACATAAAACTCGATCAAAAAATTGGTTGCAGGGGACGCTGCCTGGGTTTGGATTCCGCGGCTAAGCTGGCACTTTCTGCTTTTTTGGCTTCTGCTGCTGCCACAGTGGCCCTCCAGGATCTGATGTTGTCGAGGGATGGGATTTATGTCGATAACTTCAGAATGCAAGTATACGACATGTGGCGCGCCACCAACGGAGATGTGGTTGCGCTCGAAAAACCCTCGCAAAAACACTGGATCGCCCCCTGTCTTAATAGATCAGTTGATCGATGGCTGCAAATGAATGGCTCCACTTTTGACAAGGCTAGAATTATGGCTGTCAAAACTAGATCGGATGACTCCTGTGTTCGCGTGAGCCTTGGTTTGAGACTCGGAGCCCAGATCGTCACCGAATACGAATGCGCATGTGGGGCAAGGGTTGATGAACTTGGATACCATAGCCTTTCTTGTCGTTTAGGTCCTGGAAGACAAGCCAGACATACGGCTGTCAACGAATACCTGGTACGATGTTTTCAAAAGGCTGGTATCCCGGTTATAAAAGAACCCATAGGTTTGATAGAGGAAGGAGCCTTTAGGCTTGATGGTTACACTATCACCCCATGGGCTCAGGGACGGTTCCTGGCTTGGGACGTTACCTTACCCCACACTATGGCTGACCGATATATCGGCTACACTTCAGTGGAGGCGGGCACTGCTGCCCTTAAAGCGTCCGATTTCAAAAATAAAAAATACGTTTCATTAAACAATTTAAGCAAAATATTTCAACCCATTTGCATTGAAACGTTCGGACCAACAGATAAGCACACATCATTATTTATTAACGAATAAACAAGAAAAATAGTTAATATAACTGGTGATCCTAACGAAGGCAATTATTTAAAACAAACTCTTTCACTTTTATTACAAAAATTTAATTCTTTTTGCATTCTGGATGGAGCTGCTAGATACCTGACTGTGCGAGACCAGGGACATAGATAAAAGTTGAACTCGGAAACGATTGCATGCCTAACCATGGCTTGTTCATCAAAACGGGTTCATACATACATACATACATACATACATACATACATACATACATACATACATACATACATACATACATACATACATACATACATACATACATACATACATACATACATACATACATACATACATACATACATACATACATACATACATACATACATACATACATACATACATACATACATACATACATACATACTAGAGATGCACCGAAGTTCGGCCCCGGCTCCGGCCAATATCCGGCTTTTTTTCAAATCCGGCCGGATTTGGTGGCCGGATTTAGGGCCGGATTTAAGCGGATTTAAGCGGATTTAACCGGATTTATTTTTGAAATTAAAATTTAAAATTAAAATTTATTTATAAAAAAGAAATTTCCTAAACCAATTTTTAAAATCTGTGTAAAAAAAACTATAAGGGGAGAGATTGGGCCAAAGTTTGCTGCAATAGTTGTCTCCTCCCACACTGTTACCTAGGTTTTTGTATTCACTCATTCACTCATTTGTTCACTCACTCATTCATTCATCAATAAAAAAAATAAAAAAAAGAAAAGAAAAAATTAAATAAAAGTTGAAAAGTTATATATATTTTCC